CATCCTTGTTGCTAAAACGTTTTTCAAGTAATTTTTTTCTATTGGTTGTATTTTGTTACATGATTCATCGTGCATATGGTAACTCCTTGGATTTGCTTGTGGTGACACTCACCCAACCCATACATGAGGTCTAAAGATGGAATGTATAAAAAATTAAGGACCAATAATTGAGGCCAAAAGAAGCAATAAGTCTCTAGGCTTAGCTTAAACATCAAATGGACGTGGATGATGGGAGTATTTGTTTTTCTCTCCATTTCTTTTTAATCACAATCATCATTGTTATTATATTTTGTTTAATTATGCTTGTTTTTGGCGTTTTATAAGGTATTCCAAAGGATTGATATTTTTAGCAAAGACTTTGATAACATAGTGGAGCTTGAATTGGGGGCTCCATGGCCTTTTCCCCCGCTAGAAGTCACTGCCACCTTAGCCCACAAATTCGAAGTTATAGGTTTGGGGCATTTTACTTATAATGTTTTTCCTTTCCCTCTCGTTCTTGCATATGAATATATTCCTCATGGAAGTTTTTTGTTTAAAAAAATTGCGATATAAGGTACAAAGGGGGTCAAGATAACATTTGAGAAGACAACCGTGAAGACTAAGGGGAACTTATCTCAGCTGCCCCCATTAGATGTTCCCCGTTTACCGGAAGCCCTAAGGCCGCCGTCTAATACGGGATTTGGTGAGTTTGAGGTTACGTATTTGGATTCTAATACGCGTATCACTCGAGGGGACAGAGGAGAATTGAGGGTTTTTGTTATTGCTTGAGATATGTTTTCTGAATTGGAGCAGATCTTGTATGCTTGATAAATTCCCTGTTGGAACCTATAACTTGGGTCCCCTCAATTGTCATATTATGTATATTGATTGTATAGATATACACAATTTTATAAGAATGTATCATTAAGTTGAAGTGAAGAATAAAATTTATTGGATCCTGATTCCTTCTGCAACTGTAATTAATTTATTCTGTCTTTTGAAATTCTTCGTATCGTATGCGACATTGTTGCTCTTAGCTGGTTGGCTGGATAAACATGTAAAGATCTTTAGTTTAACAGGGAGACACAAAATTACAATACGGAAAACGTTTTATCTTCGTCTACTGCATATTTTTTTTCTTATAATCTTCTAGGTATGAGAATCTAAAACATAAATAGAGGGTAGTAGTAGACAGTTAAAATACATTGAGAAATTATTATTTGTTATTTGAAATCTGAGTGGTTGGCCAAGAAATATTCTTGTCACCTCACTAGTCTGGTTCATAAGGTGACTGGTCTAGTTCACCTCGAAACCTGGTAATAAGAAACAGGACTGATCAAACATTGGCTGAATCGACTAACTTTATAGTTGGATTGTTTGCGTTATTCTTTATCTCGCTTAGAGCATTTCCAACCCATACCCTATAGCCAGCGGAAACGACACCTTTGGAGGAATTCATCCCCAAACCAGCCCTCCATCTTTGCAGGAAACTCTATAGAAGTTGTGCGGAACCGTTTGCCAACCATTCCACTGTTCATCCTCTATCACATTTTTCCTTTTTTTTTTGTGTGTAAAATGATGTTGGGTGGTATTTTGGCCCATTTAGATGTATTGGGTGGGCCTTTTTTCTAACTATATTGAATGAACTAATTAGTTTTATAAATTAAATTAAGATAGTTTATAAATGTTTCAAACTTTATTATAATTATTATAATTATTATAGTAAAATTTTAATTGGAAAATTAAGCTTTTTATTAATTAATATGATAGAATATTAGTTAGTATAAAATTCACTTAAATAAATATTTCAAACAAAATGTAATTTGTAAAACAAAATATTTCAATAATTAATATATATACATAAATATGTAAATTTTATGCAAGCATAATGCATTAAAATGTAATTTGTAGAGATTATTTAATAAACTAATAAAATTAGAAAAAGGTATGCTTGGAATATTCTTTTAGAGGAGAATTATAGAGGGAATGGGTTGGAGTTGCTAACACTAGTGAGATTTTACTGTAGAAACTATAAAAATTGAGAGTATGGTTGGAGATGCTCTTATATATATAAACGGGTTCGAGGTCGTCTGCAACCGACACGTGGCTCTAAAACGATGTCGTTTCACACAACTTTATGTTTTTACACAGAATAAAATGCCCCTGGTTTGCATCATTTTTTAAGGTTAATATGGCAGCAATTCATGTGCAACCCCACGCCACACATACGTGATTGATAATAAAGAAAAGACTCACCATTTCGAAAAATTTCATGCTACCAGTGAGGGTAGTGCAGTCATGTCCTATTCTCGTGACAAGTGTCAGTTTTAGTGCTTTATACAAATCCCATTTTGCTATGGGTAAACATTTAAAGAAATAGACTATTAGTCATAATAAAAAGTAAAAAAAAAAA